AACGGAAATTGAAATTGAATGCTGTGAATATAACAACAAAACACTGCTTCAATTCAATGCGCATTTTTATTGCAGGATCGACAACGCAGAGAACCCATACTGTTGGAGACGGTGTGCGTGCTGGCGGAAATGTGCGATCATTTGGCTATTCCATGAATGTTCCGGCCATTGAGAAGCTGAAGGGACGGCAGAATTACACATCGTGGGCGTTTCTCATGAAAATGACGCTGATTAGAGAAGGCACCTGGAAAGCGGTCAAACCTGCGGAGGGACAGGAAGCTGATCCGGAGCTGAGCGATCGAGCGTTGGCCACAATTTGCCTGAGTGTCGAGAGGAAAATTTTTAGTATCGTGCAAAAGGCTACTACAGCATCGGATGCGTGGAGCAAGCTGCAGAAATCGTTTCAAGACAACTTGCTGATCCGAAGATTCGGTTTGCTGGACAAGCTGACCGGAGTGAAATTGGGAAATTGTAGCTGTGTTGAGGACTACGTTGACGAGCTTGTGAGGCTTTGAGGTGAACGACCAATGGTTGGCGTAACTATTGCTAAAAGGACTACCGAAATACTACAACCCAGTGATCATGGCTTTGCAATCATCGGGAATCGAGTTGACGGCGGTACTCGTTAAGGCAAAGGTACTTCAAGATGTGCAGTGGCCGCCAGACCAGCATTCTATTCGAAGCAGAAGTCGCGGCGTCCGAAGAGTGGAGCAGATAAGAAGGAAGGTACGTGCTTCAATTGTAAGCACCAGAAACAAAGTTTATCAAGAGGGAAGGCTCTGTGCGCTACGCTGGCGGTTGGAGAAGAAGAAGACTGGTACTTTGACTCCGGAGCCACTCCGCATATGACGAGGACGATGAAGAATTTTGTGAAGCAGGAAACTTTTGTACACTCTATCGAAACGGCAAACAACCAAAGCGTGAAATCAACATCGAAAGGTCTGGTGAAGCTGGAGTTGCAAGAAGATTTAATCGAAGTTCAGGATGTATTGCAAGTTCCGGATTTGGCAACCAACCTTTTATCGGTGAACCGAATATGTGAGGCTGAGTGTAATTTTTACGGCTGAAACTTGCGAGGTTCGTGACGAGGATGGTGATGTTATCGCTTCTGGAATGGAGACTGGAGGCTTATACCGACTGAACACGAAGAGACCGGAATCCTCTTACTTGATAACTGAGTCCTATATCTGGCACAAGAGACTTGGGCATTTGAATCAAGGCAGTTTGCGGAAACTTGTCGCGATGGTTGATGGCATGGATTTGAAGAATGAACTGAAAGTGGACTACGTGGCAAAGGGTTAGCATGCTCGAGACTCTTTTCATTCTAGTTCATCCCGAGCAGAAGGTCTGCTAGACCTTGTACACTCCGATGTGTGTGGTCCAATCGAAGAAGCCTCGTTTAGAGGGAACCGTTTCTTCGTTACCTTCGTCGTTGATGCGAGTCGAAAGGTTTTCGTTTACTTCCTGGAATCAAAGAGCCAAGTAAAGGATGTTTTCGAAAGGTTCAAGGCCATGAAGGAACGGCAAACTGGACGAAAGTTAAACATATAGCGTTCTGACAACGGTCTGGAGTATATGGTGATGAAGAAAATATTGGAGCGAGACGGCATTATTCATCAGACGTCCTGCCCCTATACTCCGGAGCAGAATGGTATCGCTGAGCGCATGAACCATACGCTCGTGGAGAAGGCGCGGAGTATGATCAATGATGCGGGACTGTCGAAGAAGTTCTGGGCGGAAGCAATCTCAACCGCCGCGTATTTGGTCAACAGAAGTCCATCACAAGCGCTGCAGATGATGACACCAGAAGAAGCGTGGTCCCTAAGGAAGCCGATTCTTAAACCATGTGAAGATATTCGGTTCCAAGGCGATGGTCCATGTGCCGAAATCGAAGAGGAAGAAGTTTGATTCAAAATTCGTGGAAGGCATTTTTGTCGGGTATGCGGAGAATTCGAAAGGATACCGGATTTATCTTTTGGAGAACGATGACGTAGTAACCAGTCAACATGTGATCATCATCAACGAAGGTCGAGCAGTGATGTCAACCGAGAAGCAGAAACCGGTGGAGTTCATGGAAATTGTCACCTGGATTGATGAAGTTTTCGATGTACCGGAGCAACCAAACGTCGAGAATACTATCCCAGAGGAGCAAGATACGGAAGGACCGTCTGAGCCTGATAATCTGATGGAAGGTCCGTCTAACGCTTGTACGGTTTCTGAGATTGAGCATACTGATTCGTTGAAAGGTCCGTCTAACGCCGCCTGCATCAGCGCTCCTACCGCAACAAGATAGACCAGCTGGTAATGAGCAGCATGTGTTAAGGCGCAGCGGTCGGGAGCGCCAAACCCCAGGCAAGTATTTGGATTTTGTATGTTTTAGTCCATTGTCTGGCCGCGTTATTTCCCCCACAGTGTGCGGACGAGCATATTATTGTTGACAATCCCACGAGCTACCAAGAGGCGATGAAGCGTCCAAAACGTGAGCACTGGATTGCGGCCATGAAGGAGGAAATTCAAGCGCTTGAACAGAACGAGACGTGGACGTTGGCTGACTTACCGGCCGATCGGAAGTGTATTCGCAACAAGTGGGTGTTTAAAACGAAGCGTGGACCGGATGGAGCAATTGAGCGAAACAAGGCACGTTTGGTGGTCAAAGGATGTTCTCAGCGACCGGGAATCGACTACGACGAGGTTTATTCACCGGTGGTCCGTTACTCCACCATTCGATATTTGCTGGCATTATCTGTGAAACACGACCTGGAGGTGGAGCAGATGGACGCAGTTACTGCATTCCTGCAGGGGAAGCTCAAGGACGAAATCATATATATATGGATCAACCTGAAGGCTTCGTGATCAAAAGCGGCAAGGTATGTCTGTTGCGGAAAGCACTCTACGGCTTGAAGCAATCCAGCAGGGTCTGGAACAGCCAGCTCGACGAGGCGTTAAAAGATTTCGGACTTACACGCTCGGATGTCGATACTTGCTTGTATTTCAAGATAGAAGGAGGAAAGATGCTTTTTTGTGACCATCTATGTTGATGGCTTCCTCATCTTCAGCAACGACCCTCAGATGAAAGTCAAGCTGAAGAAATGTTTGAATACCCGTTTTAACATGAAGGACATTGGTCAAGCGAAATTCTGCTTTAGACTGAGAATATCCAGGGATAGGCGAAATGGTAAGCTTTGGCTTGACCAGCAGCATTATATGGAGAGTATTCTCTAACGGTTCAACATGGCGAACTGTTGTCCAGTTTCGCCTCCAGCTGAACCTAGCTTGAAGCTCCACAGTAAGATGTCACCAAGCACACCAGACGGAATTCAGGCGATGAAAAATGTTCCGTTCAAGGAGGTAGTTGGCTGTTTGACGTACTTGGCGCAAGCGACGAGGCCTGATATAAGTTATGCTGTCAATCAGGTCAGCCAATTTTGCAGTAATCCTGGGCAATGCCATTGGACTGCTGTAAAACGGATCATGAGGTACCTAAAGGGCACAGCTGGACACCGGCTTCAGTATTGCAGAGAGGAAGTTTCCCAATTGGTCGGCTATACAGATGCGGATTGGGGAGGAGATCTCGACACGCGAAAGTCGAGGAGTGGATAGGTGTTCACGTTCATGGGCGGAGCAGGTTTGTGGAACGTGAAACGACAGCCGACAGTTGCACTCTCAAATAGCGAATTCGTGCGAAACCGAACTTTTTGTCAGTGCGAACCTCAACCTGAGCTAGGTTTTAAAAACAAAAGAGCAAACTGACGTTTGTCAGAAAACATGCAGACCCAATCTTGATACCCGATCCAGGTTGGAACTGAATAATAAACGAATTCGCTAAAAGTGTGAAGCCGAATATTTGGCGCTTTCAAGGACCGTGCAGGTGGCAGTATTTTCAATCGCAAATTTTCGGGCAGCAAGTCATTTCAATTCGATGTGACAATCAATCCGCTATCTGCGTGGCGCGGAACCAAGGATATAACCCCCGGCCAAACATTTGGACATCAAGCACCAGTTTGTGAAGGACACTTTGGATCGTGGAGTCATCGACCTTGCGTACGTTAGCACGAAGGAGCAACTCGCCGATGGTCTTACGAAGGCTTTATCGAACATCAAACTGGAAGCTTTCAGAACATTAATAGGACTCGCAACATAGGAAGGAGTGTTGTGATCTCAATCTAAGTAATCCGCGAGTTCGTAGTAACCACTGTTAGTTTGTTAGTCAAATAAAACTTTCATTCATTTCCAAGCATTCCTCAAGATCAGACGTCTTTTATTTCACTGCATTTACAAGTGAATTACTATTACATGACACCAACAAAGTTGACATCAGATCTCTGGGACGATTTGGAGAATCAAAGATATGTTTTTAACACAGGTATATATCTTCTTTTTTACTAGTTCGTTTATTTACTAGGCTCAGTCCTGTGTGACACTTTACGGAGCCAAAAAGCAGTAATGTTTGAATTTACATTTTAAACAGCAGTAGTTCTAGGTTAGTCTTGGGTACCAATTACTCGTGGCGGGCTCGAGGTTAATGGGTAACAATTTTGATTGGAAAGAGCTAGGTAGGAAACAGGTTTCTGAAGTCTCTTTGAGTATTGTATATAGATTGCTTCTGTTGAGTTTCTCTGTTTGTGATACACGGGGACGAAGAACAATTGTCACAAAGTTCAAAATCAAACATTTTGGGCCATAAAATGTACTTACTGTGTTCCACTTATCTAACTAACGAAAAACCTTCTTTTGAATACGAGGATATTTTTAATCATTTGAGGTGGTGAAATTCAGAGTACTTTGGTTTGCAATCCATGTTGCACAAGAAAAATTTATGGCAGCCCTATCCCTTCACTAATTAGGCTATTATTTACCGCGGATAGAGATAATCTGTATATAATGAATTCAGATTGCAGAAACCCCAATCGAGTAGCCAATTGACGATAACAGGCATTACCTCGCCAGCAATGCCCGTGGACGCAGGACCTAAGAAGTAGCATCGAGTGTTCAACGACTTCACCCAAAACAAAACATGGCCCGTGCATTCGTCACACTACTAATCTGCGTAATAACGTCTGGTAAGTCATTCATTCGCGCACAGATTTAGACAGATAAGCCAATCGTAACATATCAATCACCTCACCTACGCAGCACAATGGATCGTGGCCGAGAATCTCCTCATGAACCACCACATCATGCAGGGATTCATTTTTCCAACCAGCGTGACGGTGGCCGTCGGTGAAAGTGTACACCTAAAGATCGTGATAACCATGGACGAAGGCGACCGCTGTCTGTACCGTGAGCCCGGGTCCGACGAGGACGTCGACGTTCATGCTCCGGTCACCTTCCGACGGCAGCAACGTATTATTCCGGTGAATGCTAGCGACGAGACACGCGATTTGAATGTGGAAGCTACCGAGTGTGGGATCAAAGTGCTCAACGTCAATCACGAAGATGCCGGGTTCTGGCGATTGACGATGATGCGCGGAGCTCAGCTTATACGGGGTATCTCGATGGTCAATGTCATAGACGTTCCGACGGTGCCGGATACCAGCGATAGGGATTCGATTGTCGGTTTGGAGGAGATAACACCCGCCGGGACTGACTATTGCTACGTACTACGGGACAGCGACACTCAGACCAAGGACGTCCCGATGTACGAACAATGTTCGCTGGAAGTGTCCGAGATGGATCCCACCGGAACCGGCCATTGGAATGTGATCGCCGGCGTTCAGGGATACATGCGGGAGATGCATTTCGCCATCAACATCGAACATAAAGGTACACTCAAAACATTTAAAAACATCTCTAATGGATGAAATCCATGTGAATTTGACATAGCTTTCCTGGGATCACATAGCTACAAATCCCACCACAAAATCATATGAATATTATGAGGCCGATGAAATGCATATGAAAAATCATGTGATGTAATCGCATAAAAGTTATGTGAAATTCAGTGAATTCTATTAATTTTGATTGTGGATGAAAATCAAGTGCGTTTCCAATGGAAGCTACATGAAAACTATTTTCGGTGTAGGTGGACATAAATGATGGAGAACTGATTAGATTAGTGCGAGGGCGAACATCAATCAGGAAAAATCTAGACTATTGAACTTTTAACAAGCGAGATTTAAACACGGCAATCGATATGGCTAATTGAGTTGTTTTGTGCGTCATCTCGAATATGGTCAATCAATCAAATGTGTGCTAAAATCCGGCCAATTTAGCTGCGGCCTTATTTTTCAAAATGGCGTATTCGATAGTGTATTAATAAATAATAGCACAAAAACGTTTCCGCTAAATCGAAATGACGTCTTATTTGTTTATTTGGTTCTACATCAACAGACTGGGTTTAGTCCTAATGATGAATTAAGCAATACTAGGAAATACAATATAGTCAACGAGCTGCAACGGCCGCGAAGTCCAACTTAATTCCTAATTCTTAAAAATATATCACGGAATCTCTGACGCAGCGTCTCGCGTGCCAAGTGAAAATCAAATAAGGAAGCAACACGATTGAAACCCCTTTGTAGCCCATTGATAGCATCATACGAACTATAGTTTGTACGACGAAAAGGTATCCTCAGCATTGCGTTGTTACGGAGTGCTCGTGGTTGAACGTTAACATCGATTTGTTGTAGAATAGAAGGACAATCGATTCTGCCCTGTAGAATGTCTGCCACAAACAGGGCCCTTGTCGTATCTCATCTCAAAGGATCCAGGTGAATTAACTGGCACCGACTTTCGTAGCTTGGAAGGCGATAACGATCCCTCCAAGGCAATCGTCGAAGGGACTCTTTGTACACTGTTTTGGAAATTGGGATTCCATACAGGGCAGCAGTATTCTAACACCGACCGGACACCTTCTCCACTCGTAAAGGAAGTTCCTCATCATCCTCCTTTGGTTATTACTGTTGAAGACAATCACATTCGGGATCTCGAAGACATCTCCACTACGGTGTCTTACAATTTCCGGAAAGCCGATCATCGTAGCATTGCCGATGTGCTGTCAAGCCACAGACAAACAGACGTAACTCTTTGAAAAACTTGTTCTTGAAAACATAGTATCTCAAAACATATAACCTCAGTAGCGACATCTATCTGGCTTCTCGCGGAAAACAAGCTTGCTCGCTAACTCGTAAACAATATTGCATGAAATTTCTATAGAATATATAGAAACGTCAAAGTGATCCAATGCCAGCGCTGCGGCGAGTAGTTCGCGGAACTGATAATATTCAAATCAACCGTTAAATGCATGAACGAAGATACACAATGAAGAGTTACGTCTGTTTGTCTGTGGTCAAGCATTGATTGGGAAAACATACTCGATTCTGATAACGTCGAAACCGCTGGTCTAACTTTTTCACATGTCTTGGCTTATGTCATTGACAGACACGTACCTAAGAGCGTTCACCAGATTGCATCGCACCTCCCTTGGCAGACGAACGAATTGAAGAAGCTGAAATCGATCAAGAGAGCCGCGTTGAGGAAATTCACTAATTATCGAACGATGTCACTGAAACGTCACTACGTTAAGCTCAATTATCAGTTCAAGCGAGTCAGCCGTCAATGCTACTTGCATTATCTGCGAGGGATTCAAAGGAAATTCAAGTCGCACCCGAAGTCTTTCTGGAAGTACGTGAAGGAGCAGCGCAGAGAGTCCGGTCTACCATCATCCATGATATTGAACGGCGAAGTCGCTTCTACTCCACAGGAAGTCTGCCGCCTGTTCTCCAACAAGTTTGCAAGTGTCTTCTCTGACGAGAGCTTAACCAACGAATACGTGACTCTAGCAGCAAGCAACGTTCCACTTTCCGGTCAAGCGCTGGGTGGAATTGTTGTCAACGCTGAAGTGATAACGACTGCCGCACTAAAACTAAAGCCTTCTATCAACCCTGGACCGGATGGTGTCCCTTCAGTCTTTCTGAAGAAACATATCGCTAACTTACTGTCACCGCTACAACATCTGCTCCGATTGTCCATATCGTGTGGCATTTTTCCATCGAACTGGAAATTTGCGCATATGTTCCCTGTGTATAAAAAGGGTAGTAAACGGAACGTGGATAATTATCGTGGAATTACATCGTTGTGCGTAATTTCGAAGTTATTCGAGTTAATCATCATAGAGCCTCTGCTCTCCCATTGCAAGCAGTATCTAAGTGAAGATCAACATGGCTTCACCTCTGGTGGATCTACTAACACAAATCTACTGTGTCTGACATCGTACATCACGCAAAGTATGGTTGAAAGGTCACAAACAGACGTCATCTACACTGACTTGTCTGCTGCCTTCGATAAGATAAATCACGCCATCGCGATCGCCAAATTGGATAGACTTGGGATTAGCGGAAATCTCTTGAGATGGTTTTGCTCATATCTCGCCGATCGTCAGTTGGTGGTAGCCCATGGTGACTGCCAGTCCGACATTTTCGCAGCTGCGTCAGGAATACCTCAAGGAAGTCATCTGGGACCGTTGATTTTCTTACTCTACTTCAATGACGTGAATTTAGTTATCGAAGGTCCACGACTATGCAGACGATCTCAAAATCTACTTACGGATCTGCTCGATCGATGATTGTCAATTCCTCCAACGTCAGCGTTTGCCAGCTGGTGCCATTTGAACCGAATGACAGTAAATCCTGCGAAGTGAAAGAAAGAACCAGTTATTTTTCACTATGCTCTCCGGGACACCATTATTGAACGTGTGAGCCATGTAAAAGATCTAGGTGTCATCCTGAACTCTCAACTTACATATAAGCAATACATCTCGTACGTCGTCGACAAGTCGTCAAGGACATTGGGCTTTATCTTCATAACAGCTAAGAATTTCTCCGACATCTATTGCCTCAAGTCACTGTATTGTTCCCTGGTACGTTCCATTCTAGAATATTGTTCTGTGGTCTGGAGTCCGAACTACAACAATGGTACTGAGAGAGTCGAGTCCGTTCAACGCCGCTTTCTGCGATACGCGTTGAGAATGTTACCTTGGAGAGACTAGTTTCATTTGGCCAGCTATGAAAGTCGCTGCCAGCTGATCGACTTGGAGCCTCTTCGCACCAGAAGAGATACTTCAAAAGCCCTGCTTGTCGTGGACACGTAACATGGCAGAATCGATTGCATGGCAATCTTGGAGCAAGTAAACATTAACGTCCAACCCCGAATGCTTCGTAACAATGTTATGCTGAGAATGCCACTACGTAAAGGGTGATACGGTCAAAATTTGGTCAAGGGAAAACGCGTGTAAATCGATGAAATCGTTTATTTAAAAAATTAAAAATAAATTTCTTTTTCAAGTTCAATTAGTATAAAATTCAGGAAAAATATTCAGTTAGGCTTCCGCTTTTCCAAATCCGAATTGCCGGGCCTTACGCTTGACCCCTGCCATCAGATTTTGTACAGCCACCTTGTCAACCTTCTTCGCCGCAGAAAGCCAGTTTGCCTTGAACTGCTGCTCGCCCTTAGCAGTTTTTTGGTCTTCTTTAGGTTCCGCTTGACAATAGCCCAGTATTTCTCAATTGGGCGGAGCTCTGGCGTGTTGGGAGGGTTCTTGTCCTTGGGAACCACCTGCACGTTGTTGGCGGCGTACCACTCCATGGCCTTTTTACCGTAATGGCAAGATGCCAAATCCGGCCAAAACAGTACGGAACAACCGTGTTTCTTCAGGAAAGGCAGCAGACGTTTATTCAAACACTCTTTCACGTAAATTTCTTGGTTGACAGTCCCGGAAGCTATGAAAATGCTGCTTTTCAAGCCACAGGTACAGATGGCTTGCCAAACCAGATATTTCTTTGCGAACTTTGACAGTTTCATGTGCTTGAAAACATCTGCTACCTTTCCCCTTCCTTTTGCCGTATAAAACTCCTGTCCCGGAAGCTGCTTGTAGTCGGCTTTGACGTAGGTTTCGTCGTCCATTACCACGCAGTCAAACTTCGTCAGCATCGTCGTGTACAGCCTCCGGGATCGCGCTTTGGCCGTCGTATTTTGTTTATCATCGCGATTTGGAGTCACTACCTTCTTGTAAGTCGATAGTCCGGCTCGTTTTTTGGCTCGATGCACGGTTGTAGACGATACACCCAGCTTATTTGCGGCATCTCGGAGAGAGAGGTTAGGGTTTCGCTTGAAACTACCGGCAACTCTCTTTGTCGTCTCAGCGGCTTCCGGTTTTCGATTTCCCCCCGATCCAGACTTCCTGGCTGTCGACAAACGTTCCCCAAACACTTTAATTACATTTGTAACGGTTGATTTGGCAACTTTTAGCGATTTTGCCAACTTTGCGTGCGAGTAGCTCGGATTTTCGCGATGCGCGAGCAAAATTTTGATACGCTGCTCTTCTTGCTTGGACGGCATTTTGACAACTGAAGAGTGAATTCCAAAATCAAAATAGGAGCAACATTCTACACACACACACACCTTCAAAATGAGGGGTGTTCAGGTTTTTTAAATGCAAAATTGAAAGAAATACGTCAAGTTGATATTGACCAAATTTTGACCGTATCACCCTTTAGGACAAACTATGCAATCAACGTTCTCTTCATTCTTGTCCAGAAATCGAAACAGTCAATGATCATGTTTTAATGTTTTGTAGTTTTAACTTATGACTTTAATTTTAATTTTAAGTCAAACCATCATTGGGACCATATCGAGTCTGTTGATGCTGACAAATAAATAAATAAACGAGGGAGCAGTAAAGCGACTTCAAACAGCAGATGTCCGTGAAACTTTCAGCTATCCTGAAAATTAAGCCGAGCGTTCTGGATGCCTTGTCGATCACGTACGAG